TGGGGTGGCCCCAGGTGACCCCCTAAAAGCCCTGGATGTGGCAGTAGGAGATGGGGTGGCCCCAGGTGACCCCCTAGAAGCCCTGGATGTGGCAATAGGCCTCGAGGCTGGCGAAGAGCACGTAGAGCAGCCAGAGCAGGAGGAAGAGCGCGGCCGTGAGCACTTTGGGGGCGCGGGGCCCCCCCAGCTCGCCCCCGATGGGCGCCCGGCGCCGGTAGAGCAGGACCCCGATGGCGAGGAAGGCGAAGATGGTGAAGAGGGTGACGGGGAAGGCCAGCGTGCCCGGCGGCACCAGGAAGGGGCGTCCCTGCGCCGCCCAGTACACGGCGGCCACCGACCAGGCCAGGCCCAGCCCCAGGAACACGTTGACGGCGTTGGAGCCCGTCACGTTCCCGATGGACGCGTCGGCGCACGGGTCCTGCAGGGCGGCCACGCGGCTGGCGAACGTGTCTGCGGGCACGGCGGGGCACGTTGGGGGCGGCGGGGGCAGCGGGGGTGTTGGGGGTGTTCGGGGTGTTGGGGACACTGGGGGTGTTGGGGACGTTTGGGTCATTGGGGGTGTTGGGGATGTTGGGGACATTTGGGTCATTGGGGACATGGGGGGCGTTGGGGACATTGGGAGTGTTGGGGACATTGGGTATGTTGGGGACATTTGGGTCATTGATGATGTTGGGGACATTGGGGACGTCGGGGGTGTTGGGGATGTTGGGGACATTTGGGTCGTCAGTGATGTTGGAGACATTGGGGGTGTTGGGGACACTGAGGGTGTTGGGGACATTTGGGTCATTGGGGGTGTTGGGGGCATTGGGGACATTTGGGTCGTCAGTGATGTTGGAGACATTGGGAGTGTTGGGGACACTGGGGGTGTTGGGGGAATTGGGGGTGTTGGGGACATTGGGGGTGTTGGGGGCATTTGGGTCATTGGGGGCGTTGGAGGTGCCCAAGGCCACGAAGACGACGGCGTTGACGGAGTCCTTGAGTCCCTTGTCCATCTCCCTTGTCCTGTCCCTTATCCCATGATGTCCCCATGTCCCCATGATGTCCCCATGTCCCCATGATGTCCCCATGGTGTCCCCAATGTCCCCATGATGTCCCCATGGTGTCCCCAATGTCCCCATGATGTCCCCATGGTGTCCCAATGTCCCCTCACCCGGGATGGAGGTGCCCAAGGCCACGAAGACGACGGTGCTGACGGAGTCCTTGAGTCCCTTGTCCATCTCCCTTGTCCTGCCCCTTATCCCACCCCATCATCCCCCTGATGTCCCCAATGTCCCCGTGATGTCCCCATGATGTCCCCATGATGTCCCCATGTCCCCCCGGTGTCCCCTCACCCGGGATGGAGGTGCCCAGGGCCACGAAGACGACGGCACTGCCAGAGTCCTTGAGTGCCTGGGTCCATCTCCCTTGTCCTGCCCTTATCCCATGATGTCCCCAATGTCCCCCTGATGTCCCCAATGTCCCCATGTCCCCAATGTCCCCATGATGTCCCCATGTCCCCCTGGTGTCCCCTCATCCGGGATGGAGGTGCCCAAGGCCATGAAGACGACGGCGTTGACGGAGTCCTTGAGTGCCTGGGTCCATCTCCCTTGTCCTGCCCCTTATCCCACCCCATCATCCCCACGATGTCCCCATGATATCCCCAATGTCCCCATGGTGTCCCCATGATGTCCCCTCACCAGGGATGGAGGGGACCAGGGATGTCCCCAGGGCCACGAAGACGACGGCACCGCCAGAGTCCTTGAGTCCCTTGTCCATCTCCCTTGTCCTGCCCTTATCCCATGATGTCCCCATGTCCCCATGATGTCCCAATGTCCCCATGATGTCCCCATGATGTCCCCATGTCCCCCGGTGTCCCCTCACCCGGGATGGAGGTGCCCAGGGCCACGAAGACGACGGCGTTGACGGAGTCCTTGAGTCCCTTGTCCATCTCCCTTGTCCTGCCCCTTATCCCATGATGTCCCCAATGTCCCCTTGATGTCCCCAATGTCCCCAATGTCCCCAATGTCCCCGTGATGTCCCCAATGTCCCCATGGTGTCCCAATGTCCCCGTGATGTCCCCATGTCCCCATGGTGCCCCCTCACCCGGGATGGAGGTGCCCAGGGCCACGAAGACGACGGCGTTGACGGAGTCCTTGAGGCCGAGGGTGCAGCCGAAATGCGCCGCCAGGTCCCCGATGAGGGCGGTGAGGAGGGCGAGGAGGAGGATGGAGACGCCGAAGGCCGCCCAGCCCCCCAGCAGCGCCGTGGGGGGGACGCAGGCGAAGAGAACCTTCCAGAACACCGTCAGGAAGTGCATCACGTAGTCGAAGCACGACGGCAGCCGCTCCTCGCGGCCCTCGTCCTCGTCGTCCTCGTCACCTGCGGGGGGGGACGAGGGGTGGTGGCACCAGGGGGAGGGTCCCCAGGGTGGGA